GTTGAAATACAAAAAATGACCCAGTTAAAATTATAGCCTGTTTTAACAGCCAAATCACGAACACCATAGCCATGGTCATTTTCATAACGCCACAGATTACTTACCTCTTCAGTCGTTCAAGTATCGTTTTAGAAACTACACTTTAGCTATGAGCGGACATATTCTTTATGCTCTCCCAATCTAAAAGTACATAATAAACACACACACAATTGTGTAGGTTTCCGGTTATATTAATATTAATAATTTGATTGTTTAACATATGACATAAATTTTATATGCGCCTGCGCAATGTTTTTGATTAACTTTAGCTCGTATGTGAAATATTATTAACGTTTCATGAATACATGTCATTATGTTTAGTCAAGTCAAGTCAAGTCAAATCTTTTTTTTCTCTTACCCCCCCTTAAATGGCCCTTTTTTCCGCCAAAAAAAAAAAAATTTTTAATTTTTTTTTTCCCCCCCCCCCCTTGTTTTGTGTGTTGGGGGGGGAAAAAAACAAAACCCCCCCCCCCCCCCCTTTTTTTTTTTTTTTTTTTTTTTTTTTTTTTTTTTTTTTTTTTTTTTTTTTTTTTGTGTTTTCCCCCCCCCCCCCCTCCTCTTCTTTTTTTTTTTTTTTTTTTTTTCTCCTTTTTTAACATTAGTAATAACATTAAAAAAAAAAAAAAAATTTAAAAACACCACCCAAAAAACCAGTGTGTGGATACAAAAAAATAAATACAATTACATTAGTACTCGACCTCAGACGAAGTGAATGCCTCCGAATTCTTCCTCTTGTCTGTCATCTCCGCCACCATTTTGCAATCTTTCCCCGCTATCCGTATTATTCAACCTCACCAGTTCTCACTATTAACTACCCATTGGGACATTCCATGTAAGGGTATTTTTAACCCAATACGGGCAATGTAACCGGCCCATTTCCACTTTAACGTTTTTGAATTTGTTAAGTCTGTCATGCTTTTAACTTTTCAACCGAAGAATGGAAATTAAGATTGGAGTATGCCAGGGCCGCTCCATGGCCCTTTGGCATACTCCAATCTTAATTTATTATTAAAAAAATCACGTTTTTGAAGTTATACTTCTTTTGGTGCGTTAGGGAAAAATTATGAGAGTAAATTTTTACGATGCGCGCGCACACCATCCCAATAAACCGACACCCTGAAGTTAGCTATAGACAACCTCTTAGATTTTTTGAAGTTATACTTCTTTTGGCGCGTTAGGGAAAAATTATGACGATATTTTTTTATATTGCTAGTGTAGTTTTTTCTACGAACGTAGAATAAGGCGAAAAATAAAATGTTTGAAAAGATTTTTATCTTGTTACGCCAAAGAAGTAGAATTTCTTACGCGTGTACATAAGTACGTTGATTTATCAGTATATAATAGCTCTTAAAGCGGCGATTTTTGATTCTATTTCAGTTAAATATTCAATAGTTGTTCCATATCCTTCAAAGGACACATTTATCCGTCTTTAGGAATGAGGTGATCAGTTTCACCACTGTTAATGCATCAAACTATTGCCCGGTATTGCACTCCCCCCTCGGACATTTCCGGGGTCGGCCGCGCGTGACGCCACCAGTCACGCAGTAGCTGCGACACGTCAGGAAATTTACTGAATGACTTTAGGTTTGTTTATAACAGCAAAAAATAAAGACCAATTTGATATTAATTTAGTATAGTTAAAAAGGCCCCTGACTTCAAATGCTTACTTATATAGCACTATAAGGGGAGGAGTGTCTATGGATTCCTACAAAAAGTAATACGTTATGTACTCTTCCTGACAGCTTCACTTACTTTTGGTGACCAAGCACCAAGGGGGGTTAAATGTGCAGTAAATCTGATTACTCGTTCATACCGTCTTGAAACCGGCCCATGCCTATATACTTACGAAAAGTCGACTACGTAGTGTAGCAGAAGCCTAATTACCTACTTGCCTGTTAGAAATAAAATTGATCACCACCATCTTCTATATAATGTAAAATAGTGTAATTGTACGTTTGTGATATTGTACGAGTGTGTGATGAAAAAGAGAGATAATTGGATAAAATCGTGCAACACTGATTTGCGCGCGATTGTAAACTCTTTTGCGAAAAAAACGGGCACCTAAGGAAATTTACGTTCTTATTTCGATTTCAGTTAATTGAATAACTGTCAATGGTCAATAATATATTCTTGAAACCATGTTGTATGTTCAAAAAAATATAAACTAAGTATTTTAAAACTACTGGTGACTTTCACCAGTATTTCGCTTAGAACTAATCTAAGCGTACGACCAACACGGCTCCACTCAACCACTCCTTATGGAAATTATATTCGTTTCACAAAAAACTCCCAAACGAGAATTACCACTGGATAAATTCAAAACTCCCGTTAAACGTAAACTAATCAATAAAGCGTTTTATAAATTTGGCGATAATTTAAATGATCCTTGGGATTAATTTGCTCCAGTTTTAACAATTGGTGTGACTTAGCTAAGAGTGGCGGAGAGTTTATTGCCAGTTCTTCTTGCCCACTCTACGCCGTTGACTTGCGAACTGGTAGTAAATGTAAATATAGAATCATTTTAACATATTTTCTGTTGACGTTCATAAGTGTACTTGATTACCTATATGAATCAAGTTATTTTAAGTTTCAGTTTGTCCTGGTTTTTGTTTGTCGTAAATTTAATTCAATAAGATTTATAATGAGTTAAGGACGTCCTAAGCTTAATTAGATTGTTTATAATAATAATAAATGAAATAAATAAGTCTTAAATCGTATGTACCGCAATCGTTACCATGGCTACGATTAACCATAGTAACAAACACAGTACTAAGTAGTTCTCCTTTTGTAATAAGGCCGACATTACCTTTATAATCCCCTCGGGTACAGATACCGGCAAACATCTTGAACAAATGTCCTTGCCCGCGCAGAAGTGATTTTTGCGGTGGTGCGCGGCGGCGGGAGTGACGTGTCAATCGCGTGATTGGTAAATCAGTTGACATAGTGGGGACATATATAAGCTAATTTATTATTAATAAATACATAAATAAATATATTCTTTCATTTTTTTCCTGGTATGGAATCGCACTTGGCCGGCTTTCATTTATTGTTATCATATTTTAGAAGGTAGTAAAAATTATATTCAATAACTCACAATAGTATCTGATATACACTAACAATCTACAAAAATTAAAACTATTTTTTAAAGTTATCTACGTAAAAAGTATTCTACAGTTAAATAAAATAGACACTTTTTTGCTCGTATGTGTACGATGCGCAAACTTTCCCGCACACCCTTGTTTAATGCTCAAGAAGTTTGCCGGTATCTGTATGAAAGGTACGTTTTAAGACTTGTGTGTTCAAGGGCATCTCTGAAACCTAATATTTGTTCTTATGTCCGAATTATTTTTTTTGAAAAGCCTAGAGGCTAAATCATCGTTAAAATTTCCTGGATTCACCCTCATAAACCTTTAGCTAACCAGTGGCGCTACGTTTTAGGTCTAGGCCTCAGATTTGTGTATCTATTTCTTGATCATTTTCTTGGCCGGAGAACTGCGGTCACAAACACCGTGACACGAGACTTCAAACATATTTCGAAGCATGCGTGACATTGCTTATCTATTAGGTTCATTATACAGGTATATAATAAAACGAAAAATTAAAATTTATTGTTTTATTTTCATTTTATATTAACTGCAATCGTCAGTATTGGCATCTTTACAAAATATAATCCCTTTGTTTAATGGAAGATTTAAAACATATATTATTTTGGCAAATCCAAATTCACCTAAAGAACTTAATATTTATACAACTAAAATAGATCTAATGAAATCAGAATGCATTTTAATCTCATATTTACAGATTTACAAAATTTACATTAAAGTTATGCACCGATTAATTTACGTACAAATGAAGTTATGAATTGATCAGCTACTTTCAGATCGAGATAATGAACGGAATATTTACAGGTATTGCACGTTTAAAAACGTCAACTAGTTTTATACTACAAAATGGCGGACAATCTACTAATTAAATTCTACTAATTTAGTAGAATTTGTAATTTAAAACTGAATTATCAAGGAATGAATAATTTAACACGTATTTGAGCTACGTTTCGAAACTAAATTAGCTACAAAATGTAGCCCAAAACGTTAGCCATTTACAAAGCGTTTTTGGCCAAGCTATCGGTGGTCTACCCCGGTGGGCAATATGTACACGATCCCACTATATTTTGGCATTTATTTGTGACTCACCGTGATACGTGAATGCCGTATGGCACGAACGCCTAGGCACCGAAAAAGGCACGTTTTTGTACGAACACCAACGGTTTTATTAAATACATATTTATTTACAATATATTGACGCAATATTACCGTTTAGTAATGTCATAGATTGCTTACAATTGGACAAGTCCTAACATGTATTTATATAATTATTAATTTAATAAAACCGCGTCAAACATAAAATACATTTATTTTGAACATAGCGATATGGCACTCGCTTCGTACGTCAATTACACTCAGTCTTCAACCAGAAATCTCAAAAGGCAAATAAAATCACAGATTTTTACGAACAATAGGTGCCGTTGACAAGGGAGCGTTCAAGTATTACGTAACGCAATTTTTGGAGATTATTGCCCCCCTCGCCAACTCGCCTTAACGTTTTTCAGTACCCAAGTATAGTAAAACGTTTCGTGACCACCTAGTGACTCTTTAGTTACTATTATATGGTGTAAGTCGAAAAAAATATTAACAATAACGCGTAATTTAATCCCCGCCCCGCATCGTGACGTTTCACAAAAGGACCCCCTCCCCAAAATACGTTACGTAATACTTGAACGCTCCCCAACACTTGAAACTACCATTTTCTAACATTATACCAAGTTAGCCAAATATTAACTTTAACAATAATCAAAGTTTAAATATTGGTTTATGGCATGTCGACAATAGTCAGAACTTAGTATACGTATATGACCCATCATTTGTATTTGAAATTCAAACCAGAATCGTGCTCCGAGGAACTCAAACTTGAACTCCTAAAACTCTATCGACTACAAAATCATACCTAACCTCCTCTTCTTCACTTATTTTGAGTTCGTTATCAAAATTAGCTTCAGGCATACAAGGATTCTTGCATTCGACGGGTTCTTGTGCTGGAGCGGTCTTTTCGAAGGACGTTTTGGAAGACCTACCATCTGGAGTGCTTCGTTCTTCCAAATCTTGTTCCCAATCGTCTTCCGAATTTCCATCATCGGGCATTGTTGGTACCGTTGACTTGGTGCGAGTGAAGAATGCCATTTTTTCTCTGTAATTAAAAAAGCATTGTTAAAACTATTTTGTAGTAGAAAAAAATATTTGCAAGGATATGTACAAAAATGTTACGGTGGTAAAATCTAAATCTGTGCATAATCTGCACATACACACATAATGGCGTGCAAATTTGTCTTAAAAAGGCAAAATAAAAGTTACAATTACATTATGGGTCAATTCTTATATAATTTTATCACTATTTTATCAAATTATTAAAATATATTATTACGTTATCAAATTAATATTCATTATGTTACACGCAAATAATCATTAAAATGTTTTTTTTTTCAAAAGTAGTAGGTACATTAAGTCGATTTTTAAAAAGTCTAGAAGATCTTTGAATATGTTTAGTAAATTATTATTAAACTTGATTGCCATACAAAAAGTGTTTTTCCTATACAATTCCAGATAAATTTTTGGCACAGCCAATTTCTCCCCAATTCTACTTCCCGTTGACTTAAAAAAAAGTTAGTACATTATTAAGAATTTGAAATCCTTAGTTATTTCACATAATATGATTTTATAAAATAGCGCCATCTATGCTTAGCATTAGCTAACTTGACACATATGGTCGTCATCTATATTTGATATATGATTTATTTATAACAAAATATGCAACCATTACAGATTACACCAATGCGGTAACTAATTACATTTATTACGTATACAAACAATACATGTACACACACACAATATTAAAGAGTATTAGATTAAAATAGTTACAAAAATACTAAACTATTTCTTACATTATACGAACTGACATGACCACCATTTGTCAGTTCACTAAACGGACAAATAAAAACGTGTAACTAGTGTACCACTCTGGATAACTAAACCTCAAATTAGCCCCTTTCACAAGTTTATTTGGTACACACTCATCAAGAACTATTGAAAACACTATATTAAACATATTATCATCAATATTCTCCAGCATGTATTTAATAGAAATCAGCCGCGAATACAATAAGTGGTTATCAGTTAGAGAAACTCCATTTAGGCTGAGTGTTGAGTAGATGATATTGAATTCTTCCAATTACGTGTTACAGGAGGCAGACGGACAGGATGCTCATCTGATGTTAAGTGATACCGCCGCCCATGGACACTCAATCCCAGAGGGCTCGCGAGTGCGTTGCCTTGTAAGAGTTGTTACGCTCTTTTCTTGAAGGACCCTAAGTCGAAATGGTTCGGAAATACTTCAGTGGGAAGTTGGTTAACTGGTTTATTATTATTGAATAAAAGAGTATGTTGAGAAGAGAGACTCACTTGAACGTAACGAGGTCGGGTTTCCTTCCACCCTGCCTTGATTTTCTTAGACGATAGATCTCTTTGCATGTTCTCTGGAACAACTTGGAGACTCGGTCATTGCTTGAGCTTTCTGGTGCTGAGATCAGCCTTCGAAGAGTTTCGTCTTCAGCAACCCACGCTGCTATCGTGGGGTCACCTTTGGCGCAAGCTTCTTCGAGCCTGAAAACCATGTTTCAATTTACCTTACTACATATTAATAGGTATTGGTACCTTTTTCAAATATAGTAGTTTTTATCAAAATCGAATTTACCTAAGACGAAAAAAGAGAGACTAAACCACACTGAAACAAATCATCAAAATGATTCCAGTTTTCCAAAGCGTATCTCAAAATAAATGCTTACGTTTTAAAACTATAAGAATGACTCCTTTATGTCAAAAATGTATTGGATTTTGATATACGTGAGTCGTACTTCGCGTTACGTATGGACTCTGAATCAACCTTTGGCCGTTTCTCCACTGCTCCGGTCCGGCAAACGTTAATTACCGATCCGATTAAGAAACTCACAACAGTAATTGCGTACCTTCTCCACTACTCCGGCATCCGGTTTTTAACGATCCGATAACTTGCTAGATTGGAACGCGGTGTTTTATCGGTCCAAGTATATTCAAGTATCCAAGAGGTTATAAATTATTATTCAAAGGTTTATTTATAGTTTCTTTAATTTGAAAGAATCTGGATAACTTGGACCACACCAAATTATGTTGCTATTTATTTATATTTTTATACCAACTATGGTATTAATACTAATTAGTGAACTATTTATTAAGTAGATTATAATATTTTGAGATATTAGAAAAATATTAGAAGAATATTCAGAATTTAGAACGTTTTATTAATAAAATAAAGTATATGGGTTTTAGTTAATATAAGTGTTGCATGATAAATATACAAGTATCAATTATTGTCGGATCGGATATAGTGGAGAAGCGCAATCCGGCCTTCCGATATTTTCATGACTCATTCCGGTATCCGACGCCGGGCCGGAGCAGTGGAGAAAGGGCCTTACAATCTTGAATGATGTTATAAATTTCTTAAAAAATTTTTTTTAAAAAAACCCCCAAAACCCGGGCCCCCCCCCCCATTAATTTTTATTTTTTTTTTTTCCCCCCCGCGGGTTTTTTTCCCCCCCCCCCCCCCCCCCCCCCCCCCCCCCCCCCCCCCCCCCCCCCCCCCCCCCCCCCCCCGGGGGGGCCCCCCAAAAGGGGGGGGGGGGGGGGGGGGGCCCCCCCCCCCCCCCCCCCCCCCCCCCCCCCCCCCCCCCCCCCCCCCCCCCCCCCCCCCCCCGGGGGCCGGGGGGGGCCCCCCCCCGGGGGGGGGGCGCCCCCCCCCCGCGGGGGCGCCCCCCCCCCCCCCCCCCCCCCCCCCCCCCCCCCCCCCCCCGGCCCCCCCCCCCCCCCACCGCGGCCAAACAAAAATCTTGTGCATTTATATAATGATAAAATTTTAGTAAATTTTTAGACCAGCAATATGGATTTCAAAACATCCACATAAATATAGGCATGTTATAAAAAAAATGTGGGCGACTAACAATAACTAATAACATTTAATTTAAATTTTTGTATTCCCAATGGAACATGTTTTAATACGATAAATTATATTTTATGAACCGTAATAGAACGCTTACCGTTTCTTCAGAAGTGTGAGATGGGCGATCTCCTGTCGCAGATCAGTTAGTCGTGAGTGATGAGCCTTGAGATCCAGAGACAGATCAAGCGAAGTCCGCGCGCTGCGCTTCGTGGAGCTGTGTCTAACTGCGGCACCGCGCACGCGGCCCCATCTAGAACATTAATTAATGATACATTTAAAGTCGACTAGATTATTGTTTAAAGAGCAAATGACACGAAATTGTCAAATTTAATATTTAAAAACGGTATGTTTTAATCAGGTACACATCTAAAAATTGGGAAGAAAAAAGTCAGTGTGACATTGACTCATACATTAATTGTTCGTTTAACACTCAATTTTTATACGATAAATTAAACGACGACCCGGCAAACGTCATTTTGCCATGTATATTATTTCTAGGAAACATTTTTAGATCAATAAAAGTAACTATCTTATAAAAATGGGGTTGATCGTAGAGGGGTGAAAATTAAGGGTTGTATGTATTTCTATATGTTGTATCATAAAAAAATAAAAACAAAATATTGTCAAAAAATTAAAAAAAAAATATTTTAGGGTGGACAACCCTTATCACTTAGGGGTATGAAAAATAGATAGTAGCCAATTCAGACCTACTGAATATGCATATAAAGTTTGATAAAAATCGGTCAAGCCGTTTCGGAGGAGTATGGTAACTAACATTGTGACACGAGAATTTTATATAATAATTTAATTGTTATACTATACGAAAGACGTACCATAAGAAATATATATTACTAATTCATATCTTACATTCAAAAGCGCGATGTCGTCATATTTTATTATTTCGGAAATACAAGTAAATGTTGTCTACCTAATATGGTCTAAATATACTTATTACCGTACCTGAGAGACCGTCTTTCTTTCAGTGTCCTATCAAAAGGTATTCCAGGTGCTGTGGGTGGGTGAAGAGCCCTCCGTGCATATTGAGACATCGAGGAATCAGATTCTGAACGGTTGAGTCTGAAATTCATTGCAATACATTTATATATTTTAACAATATTAGTAAAAAATTGTGTAAGTGGCATTAATATTAAGATGTTGACTTCATATCAAGTTTTTATATTTATTTACAGCGCGGCAAATAATCAAACAAACTTTATGAGATAATACCGTGCGGACTAGTTATAGAATCTTATTGCTGAAATATATATTATTGTTTGCACAGACTATTTAAAAAACAAAGAAACGACAACAAAAATAACAATTTAACAAATAACACACAGTCTTTTAAATATCAACTGTATTTATTTTAATCGACAGATTTAGCAGTCTGTAAATAATATGCTGTATTAAAATTTTTAACAGTATTAAGCGTAGGAGCTGTACGCTGGTTCGGTTCTGTACTTCGTGAACAACGTCTATGGTTAGAGAACGAACTGCCGCGGCTAGTAAATGGACTACCCGGTCAGTTATTATATAGCCTAAAGTTAACATAAAAAACAAGTGGAAGAATTATTTTTATATGAATTTGTCGCGTTCCTGACTGATATTGATACATTAATACACAGTAGTTTTCAAATGTACCATTATGTTTGATTAATAGTTTGTAGAAGTGATGATGTTGTATTGTTTGGCACGCAAACAAATATTTACTAACCTACAAATATAATGTCCTTTGCCAATGCTTTGCGGTTGCGGTGAGAAAGTTTGAGATCTTTTGATTGTCGCGAGCGACTCCTCTTGATTTGTGCTTACTTGTTGACTTTTCCTGAAAAAAAATAATGTTTTAATTTTGCCACAGATAAGGAATTGTATTGAATAGTAAAAGTTTTTTTGGCGTTTAACATTCGTTCGAACGGTGAAGGAAAACATCGTGAGGAAACCGGCTTGCCTTAGACCCAAAAAGTCGACGGCGTATGTCACAGGAGGCTGATCAACTTGCCTATGATTGACAAAAGATCATGAAACAGATACAGAAATCTGAGGCTCAGACCTAAAAAGGTTACGCCACTGATTTCATTTTTATGTAAATTGAAACGTAAAAGCCCGCGAAGGCTTTGATTAGTTGAACTACAGAAATATGACTTTTTTTAAGTTCTTCACGAAAAGGAATAATTCTATGTTAAAAGTTTGTATAATAATATAAATATTAACTTAAAAACTTAATAGAAAAAAATTAAGATTATATATATATATATATTCTATTGAAAATTTAAATACAAAATATAACTCTCAAAGCAAATGTCGAAGCATATTAACAGTGCCTTGTGTTCCAAAACATGCAAATTGTCGTGCAATTTTAAAATAATTGATCGTAAATGTGTGCAACATTCCGCCCATCGTAATACTGTTTTTATCGGTTTAAGAATGTTATAAGGTACTGTTCCAACGCCATTCCAACTTAAGTAGAATTTGGCGAGGCACATGACAAGAGGAACAGAAAAGTGGAGCAAGAAAGTACTAAACTGGTGTCCAAGGTACAATAAACGCAAAAAAGGAAGACAATTTAGTAGGATAGACTTGGTTGGAAGGTACTTGGCAGAGAGTAGCACAGTGCAGAAATGGCGGGATTTGGAGGATTTGCCAGAAAAGGACACACAAATATCTAAAAAGAATAAGATAGAAATATAAATGTATTTAAATGTAATGTATCAGAAATAAAAGGCTCTTATTATTATTAAGTGACGTCACAAATACATACATACATTGTATTTTTTGTTTCTTTCAAATTGTGAATTTGACACTTCTGTAGCGTACATGTGGCGTCACCATAAGTTATTTTTTAACTTCTGTGCAATAAACTACAAAGAAAGCTTTTTGTAGAAGTTTTTGTATATTAAACCGATAAAAAGAGTTAACATTCCGTTAAACTAAGAAATAGTGCTAAAACTGTTTAAACCACTCATATCAAGCAAATCACACCTATAGTGGTACAAACAACATCGAGACATACCTAAGTATATATACAAAGAATTAGTATATACATATACTATTTCTGTAAGGTTCTGTCCACGTGAGGGCGACCATCAGCCTCAATTCGCTTCAGCTTATAAAATCTGAAGAACAATGTTTATGTTGACGACTTCTTTGACATAGTGATACTTTTTTTCCAAAAAAAATATTGAAAAAAAGATATTTTTTAACAAAAAATATGTACTAGCTACATCAACTACTATTTTAATAGAAAATGTTGAAAAAAGACATGTTTGCAAAAAAAAACTACGTTTATAATCAAACTTAAATATAAAAACGTGTAATATTTAATAAAACACTATTTTGACCGGATTGAAGTTATGTATTATTATAAATTTACAACTATTTAACATAATTTTAAATTTATCCGACGTTTCGCGTGCTTTACAGCGTGCGTGGTCACGGTGACACGTCGGATAAATTTAAAATTATGTTAAATAGTTGTAAATTTATAATAATACATAACTTCAATCCGGTCAAAATAGTGTTTTATTAAATGAATAAAAGTTATGTTAATCAAAGACAATACAACGTCTAATATTAACAAAATAGTAAGTAATATAAAAGTCGCACCTACACCCAATAAATTACTACAGAAAATCCCGTTTAATACGCTATTATAACAAAAAATAAAAGACTTTTCCAGATGAAACCTTTTTTTTGTTATCGTCTTAAACGGGTTTTATAATAACCATAACCATTATTTACATAAATTCTAACCGCCACCAAAAAAGAAAAAAAACAAACCTCCTATGAAGTTGTCTGGCGCCCTCTGGACAGAAGTTACACTCGGTGTTGGTCTCCTTCTCTGCAGTGGAAGGAAGATACTCCTCCTCTAGATTTATTTCTTCCTCCGGAATGTAATCCTCGAATGAGTCTTCTTCTACGATCTGTGAGCAATTTACTTATTTTATAAGTATGTAATAAAGGTGGATTCAGGCCTACTTCAAAATTAAGAAAACAGACAAAAAATGTGTTAGAAGTGCTTGTTGAGTTTGCAGATTAATCTCTGCAAATTAACTAAATTAAATTAATCGCAAAAGTTTTTTTTTAATTTTAGTAGTAACTCTTAAAACGAAGAAAACTGGACTGTTAAAATAAAAAAAATTATAGTTTATTTAATTCTGTTAGTATTTTACCTGATTTAGTGGTTCTCTTGACTCTTCGTCTTCAGACGCGGAGTCTTCTCCACATTCAATATTACACTCAGCTCCGGTCATACTCTCAGGACCTGAAAATTAAAAAAAAAGATTTTTTTATGCCGTAAAATTGTAAGTATACAATGTTTTTTTTTTTAATAATTAAAATAAATTAAAACTGTTTTTTTAAACACCAAGTAAACACGACATAAAAAACCTAATGGAATCGTTTCTGAAAAAAGGGTTTATTATTATTTTATAGAACAGTGGGCAAACGGGCAGGAGGCTCCCCTGATGTTAAGTGATACTGCCCATGGACACTCTCAATGCTAGAAGGCTCGTGAGTGCGTTGCCTTTTAAGAATCGGTACGCTCTATTCTTGAAGGACCCTAAGTCGAATTGGTTCGGAAATACTTCAGTGGGCAGGTGGTGCAAGGCAGAAACTGCCATAAAACAGGCCCAGATGTGGAACGGCGGACCTTGAGGTGATACGATTGATGGTGAGGTGACTAATTTAGTATACATATCAGAGAAATATTTAAATATATCATCATTACCTCTATTCCTTGTGAGGGTAGACGTTTGCGAAGAAATAACGGTAGATTCATCAGAGCTCTCATCCCTTCTCATACTTCTGAAGCTCAACACGTTATACCACTTTTGCGAAGTTGTTTCTGGGTCGAAGTCTGCTAAGCTCACTTGTGTACAACCCTGAAGAAGGAACAGAAGTTAGACTGGCTTTTAGCGCTTTTATATAAAATTTTAATAGGAAAAATCAGGTGATTCGCTCTCGTCCAATAAGATTATCACATGGCACTCAAGGCGTGCGCCGAATACTCGAATTTGGCTAGTTTTCATCATTATTTTGGGTTGGGTTTTGAATTTCGTCGCACGAATTTGATGATACTGATTATGCAGGAGTCTCGGGGGACCTTCATAGATCACGTGGATAGTGGGGTGCTCTGATTCGGTTTTGGGTACTTTTTGGATATTAAAGTAAACATTTCATTCTAGTAAGAATTAAATAATACAGAAAGTTGCAAACAATGAAATACAAGTACTAATTAGGAAATACAAACGAGTAGGTATCGATAATTTCAAAATTTTCGGAACCCTATAATCTATCAACACGAAATTAGGTTAATTTCAATATTGATTATTGTATAACTTTAAATTTAAAAAATGAGGAAATAATCGATAAATAAAAAAACTATTATTAACAATCGATTATAAAAATTTTTTAAGAGACTGTCACATCCCTTATAACCAATAGAAAAGTAGAAAATGGCGGATTGTTTACAAAGTTCCATACATTACACAAAACTTTAAAATATTTTTAAAATACGCGATTCCGGCAGCAAAAATTACTTGGAGGTATTCCAATGAAGGTCCCCCGAGACTCCTGCATAATCAGTATCAATCATCAAATTCGTGCGACGAAATTCAAAACTCTTACCATTATTTTAAGCAGAGATTGAATTATTTACGCTACTAGAAAGAATCTCACCAGGCATTCGCTGTCGGCCGCTAAATTAATTTGTAAAGTAGCGGCTCTCAGTGCCCTAGACCCGATCGAAGCACGCTGGTTGTTCCTCCATACTAGAGTTGTCCCTCGCCAGGCTAAGGCTGGTGTATTGAATACAATACCACCACCACCGCCTACCACTAAGGCACCACGGACAGATCTGGGGAAGGTAACATTTGGATTTATTGAATGCTTAAAGAAACATACTTCAATTGAAAACATTTAAAAGTGGAAGCTAAAATATACCGTTATTAGACACACATTCAAAAGTATCGAACCAGTAGAGAAAAAATGGCTTGAGAAGGATCTTCTGCCCAAAAATGCCAATTTAGACTGGCCAATCTTTTTATTTCTTCAACATATTTGACAGTGAATTTATTTATTTTTTTTGAATTGATTTTAACATCTCTTTTTCTATCAAAATGACGTTTGACAATTGACATTTAAAGATAAATGTTAAACTAAACTCGATATTAAATTATTAATTTATTTCATACCATCGAAATATCAATTAACCATGTAAAATGTAAGAAAATTACTCACATTTCCGTTCCGTTGTCTATGTATAGAGCATGAAGGTTCCTCGCACGAAGGATTCCGATCTCCAACGCAGTTTCATCCGAACAGTAACGTAATTTGATTTCAATTTGCGCACTGTTCACTGCAATAAATAATAAAATAATTAGTATAGAACAAACTTTGTCTCTTTCGTTTTATTAATTATTTATATATTTCCTTTATATAATTCGTAAATTTATTCTTATAGTATTCTCCTGTTTTGTGTTATTGAGATGTAAATTGTGTAAATATAAACTCAAATTTTAATGGCAAGGTCTATAGCGTGGGAGACTATTTAGATCATAAGTTTGACAACAATTATAATAAACTAAACTGTCCTTATTATTAAGACATTGGCATGCCAATTTATAAGTGGCTGATTGTGTGATTTTTTTATAATTAATCAATCTGAATTAAACACTTTGTAAATAAATGATTTATTATTAATATAGCAATGCTGAATTGTCTGGCGTTATATGGAAAGAATCGTTACATTGTATTGAACTATTCTGACGTTTTAGGGAGTTTGACTTTTGACTTTATATCTGTATTTCGCAACCAATTACCAAGAGAATAATTGCACTAGCTCCCAAATATAAGTACCCTAAACAATTATTGATTACTATATATAATAAAAAGTATATAATATAACAAAATTAAAAAAGGTTTTTTACTCATTGCTATACAAATTTTTGGTCTAATTTTGAGTTTGACAAAAATTCAGGAAATATATATCAGAGATACTAACCTATGTTAGAAGAATCGGCCGCCTGAGCTGCTTCGAAGACTCCAGAATCTCCCGCAACCGACTCATCGCTCACTGCTGCTGATACTGATCTAGTGTTTGTTCCTTAAACGATGCTTTTATTCCCAACGATGCTTTGGTATAAAATAATTTGAAATTGATATGGTTATAATATGAAATTCCAGCCCTGCTTGACAGTTGATTTTGACAATTGACAGGACAGGAAATGCCAAAATAAGTAGATCCGGTTATTTTAAAAACTTTAGTTTAAAAAAATAAAAAGTCTTCTATTATTATTTTTTTTGCTCTCAAACATCACACATATTAAAATGTACGAACAAAAGGATACTTATAAAAATATGTTATAGAAAGAATATACATGGGTGAAAATTACATAAGAACTAAAGAAGGCCCAGCGCTAACCAGATCCAGACTCTTTGTATTGACGAAGTCGCATGGGCCCGCCAAGCACCCGCGAATATACAATGGTAATACATAATAATGTGGGATATTAGTAAATATAATAACTACATTAAAGGAATCTTTTAAAGGCATTGGTATTCTTTTTACGATTACTGTCGTACTAAATATAGATTAATTCCATCAAAATCGAATTATTTAATAACAGGCCCAAGTTTTAATCATATTATAATTACTTACCACTAGACGAGCAGGTGGGTGACAGTGGCGGGGGTGTCTCAGAGATTGGAGATAGTGGCTCCACGGGCCGTCCGGGGCCTTGTACTTGTACTGGAACTGAAAGTTATAATCTGGTTAACTATACAGAACTCTGATATAAAAATAAATTAGATAAGGTGAGCGCAAGAAGTGCAAAACTATATCAGACAGTAATGGAACAAAGCAAAGCAAACATATGTAAACAGTGAAAGGATACATGAAAAAGAAAAGATACACGAAAAAAGAAAAAAGACACGAAAAAGAAAAAGGGCACACTAATATCAGATCAGTTAGTTCGAAATGTATTTAAATGTTTTGTGATAATATTTTAATGATACTCACTACTGGTAGCCAATCCTGTGACTTCGTTAAGACCAGTCGCGACTCCTATCCTCATCTCCGCTAACTTCTCTTCTAACTCCCTCTGTTGCCTTCTTTGTCTTTCAACCTGCAAATTTTTTGATACCATTTAGAGTATTCACTTCAGTTGGGAGAGTAAGAAATAAGGAGAAGGAAAGAACAATCGTATAAAGAAAAGTAACAGGAAAAGATTTACGTCATACCTGGGTGTATGAAGGCGGTGGTGGTGGTGGGCTGGCAGAAGAAAGACTGCTTCTAGGCGAAAGTGACGGCTGTGATTGACAGCTACTGGCACCTGGAGTCGCACTGTCGTTGTAACTAGAACCGCGGAGTAGTCTGAAATTATTTATATAGAGATTGTTTAAACGAATCGTAGAAATATTTATTGTTGTAAGAAAAGTGTGGTTTAATTGAATCAGTGTAAATATATGTATGTATAGTAATAGGGAATTGACGAAACGATTATTTTAGGCAATATATAAATAGATTTACATATATATATATAGGGAATCAGTGGCGTAACTATAAGATCTGGGGCCCGTGGAAAATTCTGATGGGGCCCTATCAGTAAAAATCGTCACGTTGTACCTACTCAGTTTAATTTTGATAAACTTCGAGATTTTCAGCGTACTCAATTACACGTTGTATATGTCCCACTAATAGCCTCCTCTCTTAGGCGAGAGGGAATAGTCTGTAGTCCACACGCTAGCTCAATGCGTATTGGAGACGTAACATTTATACATAGAACATAATATCTCTTGGGCATTGGCCCTCTTGGGTCGGGGGCCCGTGGCATTATATCAGGCCTGCCACCCTATTGTTACGCCACTGCAGGGCATGTTACAAGTTATGTATTGGGAAATGAAAATTTATTTTGTATGTTACATTAGCCATTGAACACACATATAAAAAAAACAATACTAGAATTGCATTAGGTGGTAATTCTATCTTTCTTCCTTCTTGTCTAAGATTAATAAGTTTTAAACCAATTTTAATAATACTGACCTCTCAACTCTCCGATGTAAATCGACCATGTCTATTGGTTTGTCCGTTTGGAAAGATGCTATCTGCGGCCCACCATAGATATCGGTAAAACTGATTCCTGAACTTAAAGATCCCTTACTACTTGCTGTGGAAAGGGAACCCAAGCTGGAACTACTCGACACCGATAGGGTAGAAGCCGATAACGTCTTCAACTGTCCCTCCAAGGTCGTCATTGATGTCAAGGCATCCTTCAACTGCTGTAATAGGAGCTGCTTCTCTTCGTGAAGCCTCAACCTGTCCGCTATACATTTATTCGACATTTCAAAAGCATTTTTCAGGTCTTGCTCCAAACGCCTGCATTCGGTTTGTATGTCACTCATCTCCTGCTTGGATCGAGTTCTTGGTGTAATACTTCGAAGCTCTCGTAGTAACTGTTCCTTCTCTTGGAATAGGAGAAGGCGGTCTTTGTCCGATTCCGCCTGACCAGGTTGTACTTTGTCCTCTAAGTCTGCTAATTGTTGTTGGATTTGCTGAATCCGTTTCCTGGCTTCGTCGTATTGAAGGCGAACCCGCGCCATTTCAGCCAGTCTTGTACCGATAGGTACTAAGTCCGCACATAGGTCGGTTTGTGAGGCAGTGCTCAGTTTCTCTTGAGGAAGAGTTAAGGTGGAGAGGTCTGGGGAGGCCTCTCCTAATTGTAACCTCGTGAGGTCATCTTTTAATTTGGCTAGTGATTGCATGAGGTCTGCTCTCTCTTTCTCCCCGGAAGTAAGAGACTTTTGGATGTTCTTCAGTTCGGTCATGATCGCCTGGGCTTCAGTTATGTTGTAGCAACCTTGCTGGGCGCTAAGCTTTTGTTCGACTCTGTAATAAATTATTATTTTGTTAAACTATACTTAGAAGCAGTAAATTATGTGTATTATTTAGATTATTTTAGATTGTTTCCACATTTATAGAATTCTTTGAGAGGCATAACAATTTACAAAACAGGAATTTGTTATGGTTATTAATTTTAAAAGTTTCCGGTTTCTGATTTTTGCATAAACTCAACCCACAAATTATATTTAACGTCAACTTAAGTAATTATATAAGGATTATTTAATTTAGATTACGAAGATAAAGTTTAGTGCAAATAACTAAAGCTTATATACTAGGTTATTATAGTAACCAGTGTCTCTATAACATTTTTAGGTCTAGGCCTCAGACTTCTGCATCAGTTTCATGATCATAAGTCAAATTAATAGTCAAGTCACCGACGCCTTTTTGGCCTAAGGCAAGCCGGTTTCCTCACTATGTTTTCCTTCACTGTTTGAGCTAATGTTAAATGCGCACATAGACAGAAAGTCCATTGGTGCATGGCGATCGAACCCACGACCTCAGAGGCACTGTACTAGGTTATTATAATATATAAAATATTGCTGAAAGACTTTTAAGACAACTATTTTTTTTGGTAAATATCCCGTATCGCGATTTATAGGCTGATTTTTTTTACAGATGGCGAATGACTTTTTTTGGCTAAAAAAAATCAAATTTTCAAAGTATTTGGAACTGCTCCTGTATTCACAGATGCATAAGTGCTAAGACCTCATGACGAAGTCATAAAAAAAAATCTGCTTCAAAATCGCTGGTGGCGCGATACGGAATATTATCCTTTTTTTTAATAAGGGAAGCAATAATTAAACAAATGCTAATAATTTATAACTTACTCGGCTAGAGTATCAACACCACGTCTAGCGCAGGCCACTTCAGCTCTCGCTTGCCTCAACTCCTTCCGAAGCTGGGCAACCCTACCCCTCGCCTCTGTTACTTCACACCTCAACTGTTCTGGGTCATGCCTTGACGTGGTAGATGTGGTCGTCACGGAGGTCGTTGAAGAACATACTGTAAGCAGGAGATTAGTTTAGTCTATATTATTATTATTATTATAATAATTAATAAGAGGAAAGATTTTTATGTATCTTTGTAACGAATTGGCTCAAAAAGTACTGGACCGATTTTAATAATTCTTTCACCATTTGAATGCTACATTATTTCGGATTAATTATTATCTTAATTGCAAGAACACTACGATAATGTTACCGAAGGTGTAAAAAAATACCTATAAATTATATTTTATCGCATGTGCTGCGAAAACTATTGATGATTGAACAAAAAAATGTTCCACAATATAAAAAAAGATTCAATATCGCCATTTTTTAAGGTCACCGGTGCAAAGCCCGCATCGGGCCGCTAGTATTTTATATACATGTATTTTATATTTTAGTATTATATTATTAGTAGGCACAGAAGATATTTGCTTTATACGGTCAATACACAAATGTAAAACGTCTGTAGGAAATAAGGGAAGTTAAAATGTTTTTTTAATCTTAATGGCCAGTAAGATGAGCATGTTAATTGTCAAATCACTCGCCCGCTAAAAAACTATTCACAGATAAAAACTTTTGCCTGGCAAGGAGTTTGGGAAGAATCGAATATTACAGAAATATTTTAAAAATTAAATATAGCTCTAACGAATTTTTATTTATAGTTAATTGCTCGTTATAAATAACGTGTTTTATCTTTTTCGAGATAGTTTTGTGTACAAAGTTTAATGCAGTTTTTCTAGATGTTGGTACATCATGAACAATATTTTTAACAGAACATTGAATTACTTACGTTATGGGTTTTATATATATCCCATTAAATTGCGTGTTAAATTTATTACAATACTGTAATTATTAAGAAGTGTGTAAGTATAAAAGTTATTTCTTAACACGTAAAAACTAAACAAATTGCAAAGAATAACAACGGCGTTTACATGAGTTTATTCGTTAAAAGCATACAATTAACAAAATGTTAGACGACTTCTTGGTGCCTGAACTTCAAAACTTTCCTGGCTATAACCAAAGAACATGGTTCCAGCAGGACGGAGCAACCTGCCGAACCGTCATAAGTAATTTTATTGTTCGAATAAATGAGTGCCGCGAACGCAAGGGTCTACATTTGGACGGTATCGTTTTTAAGAAATAAATTCTAAATGTGTACTTTAATAATGAATAAACACTTTTTTGAGACACCATGTATAAAAAAATCATCAAACAAATAAAAATGATATTAAATCTTTACTAATTCGTTTACGTAAATATTTAACTCAAAATCAGTGGAATTTTAATGTCAATGGCTTATCGACCTAACCTTCAAGAAAATTCCGCAAACATTGACGTATTATTTACATAATTCTCGTATTTTTTTTAATGACAGAGGTTATATTAGCCGCAGAATTATAAAGATTTTTGTACATTAATTTATTAGGGGGTTCAAAGTTTGACATTTAATTTAGATTCAAATAAGTTCACCGCATAATGAGGATTTAAACAAGCCCATATGAGTCCCGAAATCGGTTGTTAACAGGCGTATTTGTGGATTTGCATAGTTCTTTAGTTTATATGTAATTGAATTGAGAAATATTGCCGGCATAATGAAGGTTACTCAATTTTGTTACAGCTGTTTATATTCGGCAACTTTATCAAAATAAATATATCGTGTTATGTCTTAAACTTAATTTAAGAAAGTTTAAACGAATATAAGCACGAACATACTAATGTATTTTATATTTATTTATTTATTTATTTACACTTCGTTAACTTATACAAAATCATACATTTAAAAAAAGCAGGTTACATAAAAGAAATTTAACCGGATTAAAGTTATGTATTATTATAAATTTACAATTATTTAACATAATTTTAAATTTATCCGACGATTCGCGTGCTTTACAGCGTGCGTGGTCACGGTGACGGTGGTCAGGTTACATAAGTTATTGTGCAACGGACGGCCTTATCGCTAACAAGCGATTTCTTCTAGGCAACCCTAATATGGAACAATAAAAAAGCAACACCTACAGAGGGCAAAGTACAAGAAGTGCATAATTAATAAACAAAAAAAAAACAAAATAACATGTTCTGTAACTAAACCAAAATAAAGTTAAATCTAAAGAAAAAATATAAATATTAATATAATTAATGTATAAAAATTAAATATCATTCTAAAGACTTTTTGGTCCAATAAATTTCTCGTTATAAATTGCTAATGTTGATTACTAACCATGTAAATACATTCACGGAAGACGTTTGCAAATAAAATTAGTACGAATAATATTTTTGACAGGACTTTGAGTTACTTACGTTATGAGATTTTAGGTATATAAAAATTAAAAACCTTGTGACCAAAATTCCTAAAATTAATATTTAGATTACTATTATTAGAACATTACCGATTTTTAAAAGCTACTTTTATTATCATTCCATCGTGCATAGCAATTCAACATTTCAGCATATTGAATAAATATGCGAATAAATTATCTATTGTATTATACAAAAAGGAATCCACGATTCAAAGATTCTTGGATAGAATAACTCAGAGAAATAGCATGTGAATTGTACTTGTGGAATCTTTTGATTTCATCAGCTTATTTTTATATTTTTCATTACTACAATTTATATATTAAGTATTAAACTTTGTGGATTATTTTGACAGGTAAATAAATA